CCCCCCCCCCCGCCCCACACATGCTGTATAAATGTATTGCTGGGATTTGTTGTATTCCTCTATAGCTGATGGTATATTGTGCTGTATATGTGCCATCAGCTATAGAGGACCACAAATAATCCCAGCAATACATTATACACTGTATGTATAATGTATTGCTGGGATTTGTTGCATTCCTCTATAGCTGGTAATATTCTGCACTGCGCTGTATAATGTATTATTGCTGGGACTGACATGATTGGCTCAGTGTTCTCTGTACAGCACTGCGGTATATGTTAGAGCTATATACATGTATAATCATAGTGTGTGATTGTCGGGGGACATTAGAGTGTAAGCTCCTCTGTACAGAGACTGATGTGCCTGGCTCAGTGTCCTCTGTACAGCACTGTATATATGTCAGTATATATATGTCAGTGGTATATATATAAAAAGAACAGTGTGACTGGCTCAGTTTTGCAGCGGTGCGGGGAGGTGACCACGCGGTGCGGGGGGCCCCGACCTAACGCCGTGTAAGGGGCCCCGAAATTTCTGAAGGCTGCCCTGATTAAGCTAGCCATAGTCCAGTAGATTTCCAAACAAAATATCTTTTTTTCCCACCCGATAGTGCCATCAGACACTTGACAAATGTGAAACAAAATTTCTTTTTATTTTAACATTCGATTTTGGAATTATTTTAGTTTTCTGAACAAAAACCACATTCACTGTTAGAAATTCGTTTGTTCGAGGAACATTTTCCATCCTGCTTCTTTGACTTTTTTTGTCACTATGATTGAAATCAATTGATTTGCCACCATCAACTAACAGAAAGTCGAAAGAAAGTTATTTTGAAAATCTAAGGAGTGTATGGCCAGCTTTAACCTTGAAAATGCCAAGAATTTTGAAACTTTACATTGGGTGTGTGAAAACTTCCTGCCAATTGAACCCGAGCACATTTGCTCATTCCGAGCTGTAGACATTTGGTCATGTGTGCACCTGTAGCAGATTACGTGAAATGATGAATCCAAATTTGCTTATTTTGCTATTTTTGTTGAAGGGAACTACAATCTTCACCAACATATCCTCTGTGCTGAAAGATGAGCAGGTTTGGGAGAAGCCTTATCAGTTTTATCCAAAGCATTTCCTTGATGAGAATGGCAAGTTTGCAAAGCAAGAGGCCTTCATTCCATTTTCAGCAGGTATATATTAAAAAGGGCAACATACACAATGTTTTTTTCTTTTCTGCTGCTGTTACAAAGCTAACATATCTGCTGATTCTGTATGAACCAGTAACAGTATGTACACTAAATCATAAAATAATTACCGTGTGCAATGTTAATGTTTGTGGCTCTCAATATCTCAATTTACTGACCTCATTTAGGCGGAAATGGTAGGGGAACCTGCTTAGATCCAGGGATGCCAGTAACGCACAAGTGTTAGCAGTCTACTAACTGTGCTATAACACAATTCATGATGCATTACTGGAAAGACTGGATTTTGCACCTGCCTGTTACACCATATAACATACATAGTAACATAGTATGTAAGGTTGAATAAAGACCAAGGTCCATACAGTTCAACCTATGTACAGGTGAAACTCGAATAATTTGAGTATCGTGCAAAAGTAATTGCAGTAAGTGCTGCAAAAGGGGCCCAAACCAAGTACTGAGTACATATGCATGCTTGTACTTTTCAGAGGTCCGATATTGTTCTATGTACAATCCTTGTTTTATTGATTGCATGTAATAATCTACTTTTTTGAGGTTGTGGATTTGGGGTTCTTGGGGTTTTCATGAGCTGTAAGCCATAATCATCACAATTATGACAAATCACGGCTTGAATTATCTTGCTTTGCATGTAATGAGTTTATCTCATATATTAGTTTCACCTTTTAAGTTGCATTAGTGAAATAAATGAACTTTGCACGATATTCTAATTATTCGAGTTTCACCTGTATGTGAGTGTGTGTGTGTGTATTTATTTGGCTCTACAACTTCCCATATCCCTGTAGATTCTGCGAAAGAAGAACCCAGTTGTTTCTTGAATTTATCAATGCTACCATGTTACTGTATATGTTTTAAAGGCTTTCTGAGGAATAGTGTTGCAGAAGAGGATCCACAAAATAGGAAGGGCGGCATACCCCTTACAACCTCTTGTGGGCTTTTTTGTGGTCTTTTAAAAAGCTTTTTCTTTTTTTTTTAATGTAAATATGGTGTTAAAGAAGTTGTGACCAACATTTTCACAGTAATAATGTGCCTTTTCTTGTAGGTCGACGGGCTTGTCTGGGAGAACAGCTAGCCAGAATGGAACTTTTTCTATTCTTCACAACTCTCCTACAGCAATTTACTTTTGAGATACCAAATAATCAGCCTCGCCCAAGAGATGATCCCACCTATGCATTTTTGCACTATCCACACCCCTACAAGATCTGTGCTGTATCCAGAGTATAATATACTGGGCTGTAAAATGAGTCACAATCATTGTACCTTAGCACTTAACTCCCACTTAACAAGCAACCACAGTCATGGGCAAAAATATTGTCATCCCTGCATATCTGTCAAATAAAAATGTTGCAATTGCAAATGTTTGGGCATTCTCGTGTTTATTTCTTTTGTTTGTATTGGTATGAAACAAAAAAGTGGAGAGAAAAAAAAAGCCAAATCTGACACATTCCACGCAAAACTCCAAAAATGGACTGGACAAAATTATTGGCACCCTCAATTAATATTTGGGTTTCTCACCTGGGGTGCTCGCGTGGGCCTCTGGCGCTCAAAGGGTCTCCAAGTCGTATTAAGTTTTTAAAGATGGCCGCCGCAGTAGCAGCGGGCATCTTTAAATCTGGCAAGTGGTTGGATAGGTTGGACTTGATGGACTAATGTATTTATTCAACCTCAAATACTATGTAACTATGGAAGTGCCCTGATCCCATTTATTTTTTGCCAAACTGGCAATATATTAGATGAAAATCATTCCGTGGTGGTGCAGTGGAGGATCAGTGTGATCTGCATCTCTTGCTGATGCAGATCATACTGATCGCTCCCTTGTGTTGCTGTTGCTCACAGGCAGGAGCGATTAGTATGATCTGAATCAGCCAGGGTTGCAGATCACACTGATTATCCACTGGATCACCAGGCATAAGCCCCCAGTGCCCCACTGGACCCCAGGGATGCAACCCCTCACTGCAAAAAAGGTAAGCAGGAGAGGAGGCAATTTTTAATTAATAGTTTTTATTGTTAATAGTTGCGTGTGTGTGTGTGTGTGTGTGATTTAATGCGTGTATGATTTGTGTGTTTAATTACGTGCGTGATGTGTGTGTGTTTTAATGAGTGTGTGATGTGAGTGTTTTTTAATGTGTGTGTTTTTTAATGAGTGTGTGATGTGTGTGTTTTAATAAGTGTATTATGTGTGTGTGTTTTAATGTGTGTTTTTTTAAATGAGTGTGTGATGTGTGTGTTGTAATGAGTGTGTAATGTGTGTGTTTTTTAATGAGTGTGTAATATGTGTCTGATGTATGAATGTTTTAATGTGTGATGTGTTTGTGTTTTTTAATGTGTGTTTTAATGAGTGTATGATGTGTGTGTGTTTTTTAATGAGTGTATAATATGTGTCTGATGTGTGTGTTTTAATGAGTGTGTGATGTGTTTGTGTTTTTTAATGTGTGTTTTAATGAGTGTGTGATATGTGTGTTTTTTAATGTGTGGTTTTTTTAATGAGTGTGTGATGTATGTTTTAATGCGTGTTTTCATGCCTGTGCGCTTTTTTAATGAGTGTATTATGTGTGTTTTTTTTAATGTGTGTTTTTTTAAATGAGTGTGTGATGTGTGTGTTGTAATGAGTGCGTAATGTGTGTGTGTTTTTTAATGAGTGTGTAATATGTGTCTGATGTGTGTGTTTTAATGAGTGTGTGATGTGTTTGTGTTTTTTAATGTGTGTTTTAATCAGGGGTGTATCTACTGCAAGGCAAACTAGGCATTTGCCTAGGGCAGCACTTTCCAGGGGGGCGCCAAAAAATGCTGCCACCAAACAAGTTAGGTAAGAGAAAAATAAATAAATTATAATGTAAATTATTCATAAATTACTGCCAGTACTCCTGGACCTGGTGCTTCTTTGACTGGGGGACCAACGTGTCCACCTATGCAGCCTACTCCAACATATATGCCAGCGGCAGCTCCTTCCTCTACCTGGTCAACATGCTGTGCAATGTATTGGTGTGTGTGTCTTTCATCCGGATGCACTGGCAGTTCATGCGCCGGACCTCCCTGGGAAACCGGCACCCAAATCTCTGACTTCAGGCAGCGGAGGAGCTTACCCCAGGGCTGAGATCCATAGTATTTGAGGTTGAATAAAGACATTAGTCCATCAAGTCCAACCTATTAGGATCTCATTCTAGGAGTACCCGTACCCCTGTATATTACGGTCCCTTAAGAAATCGTCCAAAAGTTTCTTGAACAATTCCACATTATTTGCTGAAATCACCGCCTGTGGCAGTGAGTTCCAGACCCTAACTGATCTTACTGTGAAGAACCCCTTTCGCCCCTTGTGCTGGAATTTTTTTTCCACCAATTTTAGGTGATGGCCTCTAGTTTTTGTAACGGAGTTAATTTTAAACAGTTTATCGCTAATGTTGCTACCACCATTAAACATTTTGTACATGGAAATCATATCCCCCCTTAATCTCCTCACCTCTAATGTGAACATGTTTAAATTTAGTAGCCTCGTCTCGTAGCTCTGGTCCTCCATACCCCTAATTAGTTTGGTTGCCCTTCGCTGGACTTTTTCCAACTCAAGGACATCTTTTCTTAGTACTGGTGACCAGAACTGGACCGCGTACTCCAGATGAGGTCGAACCAATGATCTATAAAGTGGCAAAATTATAGACTTGTCCCTGCAATACATCCCCTTTTTAATACAGGACAAGACCCTGCTAGCTTTGTTTACAGCAGCCTGGCACTGCAAACTACCTTTCAGTTTGTGGTCTACAATGACCCCCAAATCCTTCTCCATTTCTGACTTCCCCAGCGGCATACCCATAATTGTATAACCCATTTGTTTATTTTTAATTCCAAAGTGCATTACTTTGCATTTATCGACATTAAACCTCATCTGCCACATTAATGCCCACTCCCCTATTTTATCCAGGTCCTCCTGTAATGTTATAGTGTCTAAGTCCGTGTCTATTACCCTCCCTATTTTGGTGTCATCCGCAAACACGGAAATATCGCTGTTAACACCCTCCCCGATGTCATTAATAAATAAGTTGAACAATATGGGACCCAGCACAGAACCCTGAGGCACACCGCTCATTACACTAGCCCAGTCTGAAAAGGTGCCATTTACAGATACCCTCTGGACACGTTCCCGTAGCCAGTTCTCTATCCACGTACACACCACCTCATCTATGCCCATAGCCCTCAGCTTGTGTAGCAAGCGTTTGTGTGGTACCGTATCAAAAGCCTTTGAGAAATCCAGATATACCACATCCACCGGCTTACCTCCGTCCATATCTCTACTTACCCCCTCATAAAAAGTTAGCAAGTTAGTTAGGCAGGAACGGTCTTTCCTGAACCCGTGCTGATTGTCATTAACTATCCCGTTTTCCTGAACAAATTCTACCAGATAATCCTTTATTATGCCCTCTAGCATTTTACAAACTACCGATGTTAGACTGACCGGCCTATAGTTCCCAGGTTGGCACCTAGCCCCCTTTTTGAATATTGGGACTACCGTAGCCCTCCGCCAATCACTGGGGATCCTACCAGTCATTAAGGAGTCCTTAAAAATGAGGATTAATGGTCTAGTTATAACCTGGCTTAATTCCTTAAGTACCTTGGGGTGCAGGTTATCCGGACCCACTGCTTTGTTTGCATTGAGCATTTTAAGTCTTTGTTGTATCCCGGTTTCTGTCAACCACTGGGGTATATTTTGAGTTAAACTGGGAGTTTTATCATGTGTGTCAAACCCGTTTCCCTCCCGAGTGTATACTGAGGAGAAAAAAGCGTTCAGCGCCTCGGCCCTCTCCTTGTCGTTTGTGACTAGCTTCCCGCTTCCATCCTTTATTGGGCCTATCTGCTCCTTTCTCACCTTTTTACTGTTAATATATTGGTAAAATTTTTTGGGGTTCTTTTTACTATCTGCGGCGATATGCTTTTCGCACTCAGTTTTAGCTGCCCGGATTTCTAGTTTGCATTTTTTGTTACATTTTTTGTAGTTAAGGAACGCCAATGCCGTCCCTTCCGTCTTATATTTTATAAATGTCGCTCTCTTGTCCTTGACGTGTTGTTTTACAGTTTTATTAAACCATATTGGTTTAGTCTTTGATCTTTTATTTTTGCTCCCTAAAGGTATACACTTTGAAGTAGCAGTATGTACTGTGTTTTTAAAACAATCCCACATCTGGTCTGTGTTTAGGTTTTGAAATAAGTTTTCCCATTTTATTTCCCCCACTAGGTTGCGCAGCTTCTCAAAGTTGGCCCTTCTGAAGTTTAGGGTTCTAGTCCTTCCAGTACACTTCCCTTTTCTGTGTTCAATATTAAAAGTAATCACATTGTGATCACTATTACCCAATGACTCCCCAATTACAATATCCTCGATTAACTCTGCATTATTAGTGACAATTAGATCTAAGATGGCATTTTTTCTGGTAGGAGTCTCCACCATCTGGTCCATGAAGTTGTCGCGCAACATGTTTAGAAATCGCCCCGCCTTTGCCGAACCCGAAGTTCCATTGGCCCAATTTATGTCTGGGTAATTGAAGTCACCCATCACGACTACATTGCCCTCTCTCCCAGCTATTCCTATCTGTGAGTGAAGATTGACTTCTCCCTCTTCCCCTATATTTGGAGGTTTATAGCAAATACCCACGAGAAGTTTACGGCTAGCGTCCGTCATATCTAGCTCCAGCCATAGAGTTTCCACGTCTTCCCCATTATTTGACGTGATATCGTCCCTTATATGCACATATAGATTATTTTTTACGTAAATGCAAACACCCCCCCCTCTTCTCCCACCTCTGTCCCTCCTAAACAGGTTATACCCCTCTATATTAGTAGCCCAGTCATGTTGTTTTTAATGAGTGTGTGATGTGTGTGTTGTAATGAGTGTGTAATGTGTGTGTGTTTTTTAATGAGTGTGTAATATGTGTCTGATGTATGAATGTTTCAATGTGTGTGATGTGTTTGTGTTTTTGTGAATGATGTGTGTGTTTTTTAATGTGTGTTTTTGTGTGTGTGTTTTTAATGAGTGTGTGATGTGTGTGTTTTTTAATGTGTGTTTTTTTTAATGAGTGTGTGATGTATGTTTTAATGCGTGTGTTTTCATGCGTGTGTGCTTTTTTAATGAGTGTGAGATGTGTGTGTTTTTTTTATGTGTGTGATATGTGTGTTATAATGTGTGTTTTAATGCATGTGATGTGTGTGTTTTAATGCGCATGTGATGTGTGTGTTTTTGTTTGCGCATGTGATGTGTGTGTTTTAATGCGTGT